CTACTCAGCATGCTGAAGTGGGAGGTTCACTTGAGCCTAGGAGCTTGAAGTTATAATGAACTATAATTGCACACTGTACTTCAGCCTGGCTGACAGAGCAAAACCCTGTCTCAAAATAAAACTGCTGGTTTAAGCAAAGAAGAAATTAGTAAAAATATTGAAGATTTGAACAAAATTAACAGGCTTGATCTATTTGACATATATAAAGTCTTCATCCAGTAAGTGGTGAATACATTTTCTTGTCGGCTATAAGCAGAGCATTTACAAAAGTTGATTATATGCTAGATCATAAAGGCAATTTTAAGAAGTTTCAAAGCCTTAATAAGATTTTTCTTGTGTATGTATAATTCTCCATATTAATGGATTAAAGGAAAAAAAAAACTACATGGTTATTTCAGTAGATAGCATTTATGACCACAATGGAATTAAATTAGAAATTGGCAATTAAAAGACATCTTTAAAATGTGTGAAAACTTTAAAACATCCTCCTTAATAACTCGTGAATTAAAAAGGAAATCATAATACAAATTATAAAATATTTAGGACTTAAAGATGATGGATGTACTACATGTTAAAAATTATAGGCTGAGGCCGGGCACGGTGGCTCACGCCTGTAATCCCAGCGCTTTGGGAGGCAAAGGTGGGCAAATCACAAGGCCAGGAGTCTAAGACCAGCCTAGCTAACATGGCAAAACCCCATCTCTACTAAAAATAAAAAAATTAGCAGGATGTGATGGCACGTACCTGTAATCCCAGCTACTCGGGAGGCTGAGGCACGAGAATGGCTCAAGCCCGGGAAGCAGAGTTTGCAGTGAGCCGAGATTGAGCCATTACACTCCAGCCTGGGCGACAGAGGGAAACTGTCTCAAAAATAAAAAACAAAACATTATAGGCTCTAGTTTAGGGGTAGAAATAAGTGTATTGCCTTAAAAACATTAAGTATGAAAAAGTAGATTTAAAAACAAGCATTCAGCTGAAATAAAAGGACAACAGAGTCAACTTAAGGAAAGTGAAGGAAGGAAGCCAAGAAAAGAAATTAATGAAATAGAAAATAAACATTATCAAAGACCAACAAATCCAAATGCTGACTTTTAAAAAATTAATTTAAAGACTAGTAAAATAGCAAGATTGATTAAGAAAAAATAAAAATCTGGGATGGTTGGCTTTAGTTTATACTCAGCTGTGTTATATGAACTCTCTCAAAACAAAATGCAATAGATAAGTAGGTCAATAAATGTGATCATTAGTTAAAATGTGAAAATGATAAAATTTTCTAGAAAAATAAATACCAAAATCAACTCAAAAAGATCTAGATAACCTATACTCATTCAACAAATTGAATTAGTAATCAGAAATCCTCCTTTCTCCCTCTTTTCCCTACCAGAGGATACTAAAACCTAGAAGGTTTGCTGCAAAGTTTTATTCTGCCTTCACAGAGCAGATTATCCCTATATTGTATAGCTTATTTCAGGCAATAGAAAAAGAAAAAACTAAGTAACTATTTTATGACAGTGATAGCAAAAGTGGACATGGACAATACCAAAAAAAATGTTTAAGGGAAATTACTATCTCAGTGAATACAGTGAAAAAACACTAAATGAATAGAATTTTGTAGTGTGTACTTATTAGTGTAATTCTCTGTGTTATAGATTAAAGGAACAACAACACTACGAGTGTTTTAATAGGTGATATTAAAAGTTTTTGATAAATTTTATAATTAACCCAAAGGAGAGAGACCTTTTAGCAAATTTGGATTAAAAGGAATCTGGGCTGGGCATGGTGGCTCACGTCTGTAATCTCAACATTTAGGGAGGCCGAGGCCGGTGGATCACTTGAGGTCAGGAGGTCGAGACCAGACTGGCCAACATGATAATACCCTGACTCTACTAAAAACAGAAAAATTAGCCAGGTGTGGTGGTGCACGCCTGTACTCCCAGCTACTCCGGAGGCTGAGGCAGGAGAATTGCTTGAACCCGAGAGGTGGAGGTTGCAGTGAGCTGAGGTCGCACCACTGCACTCCAGCCTGGGTAACAAAGCGAGACTTGGTCTCCAAAAAAAAAAAAAAAAAAAAGGAATCTGAAATTTCTTTAACCTAATAAAGAGAATATAACAAAAAACTAGAGTGAGCAATCATGTTTAACGATAAAACTTTAGAAGCCTTTCCATTAAAATCAGAAAAACATTAGGAATGTGTGCTAGCCCTGCTTCTATTAAACAATATGCTAGAGGGCTTAGGCACTGGAATAATGTGAGAAGAAATTAAAAGTTAAAAGAAGAGAAAAAATTGGTAGTGAGAATAAACCATTTATGTTTTGCAGGAAATTCTTATCCAGAAATGGCTCTACTGCTCCAACTCTGGAGTTAATGTAAAACTTAAGTTCAAAAAAGTCAGGTTCAGTTATAGTTCATGTTGTCTCTCTCTCTCTGAGCCTAGTAATAATAAAACACTGTTGGTTCTGGGATGGTGGAAGAACTTCGTTTTCATTTAGCAGTTATGTCCATAGGTTGTACTTAAACTGATTGTAATTAAACTGATGAAATTATCCAACTACCACCAAGTAGTTGTATAGATTTTAAGGATATCTGTGAGGGAAAAAAAATGGTCTATTCTAACTATTTAACTACTGTTTTATGTAAAAATAATATGAAATAAAAGTGGTATGAAATAGAAAATGGATGGAGGGATTTTTTTTTGTGGTAATAAGATCTCTTAAACTTACATTCTGATTTAGGGTTGCCTTAGTCTGCATTTAAACCTGTTTACATGTTGGATCCAATACCAGGGCCTTAAAGTACAAACCGCTTAGCTGAACTTAATCTTAACTTTAAAAGTCGAGGTAACATTGCAGACTCATGGTGTATTTTGGTCTTAGTCATTATTTACTGGTAGCCTGGAGAGGGTACATGGCATGTGCTGTTCTGCGTCATTCACCCCCCTTCACTTCCTCTTCACAATCCTATTTTATGATCAGTTTTTACATTTTATTGTTTGCTTATCTTTCCTCTTCTCCTAGGAAGCTGGGATTTTCTTTTTGCTGAATGGATTGAAAAATAATTGGGGAAAAGAAAACCACAAAGTTTAGAGAGGTTTCAGTTTTAAGTACAAAAACTAACATTTGAGTTAAATTGTCTTTGAATTATTTTCACATTGTTTATATATTTAAAGTGTTTTGGCTTTGCTCATAAATTCTTCATTGTTCAAAACATTGCTTTTGTAAAATTTGTAGTATTCCCTTTCACCTTATCTATCCTGTATCTATTATTATATTTCCCTCTTTTACCTCTTTGATGAGACTACAAAGAATAATACTTAGAGAAGTTTCCTGGCCTGTATTACAAGATAGAACATGATTTCTGCCTCAATTCAACTTCAGTGTGTCAACTTGATAGGATAAGACAGGCGGACATTCTGCTAACCAGCATCTGATTAGAGAGGGTGGAGGCTGGTGATGGATTGTTATGTGTGATGACAAAATAAGCAATTCCATGAACATGAGTGTGCAGAGTAAAATTGGGACCAGCAGATGGTGGGGCTAAGCTGTATCTTACTTCTCAGCTATGAGATTTTCTGTGGCCGCCTTTTCACAGTAGCCAGCTGGAATTGTCCATTAACTGGGTTTGAGTAAAAGGGAGTTGTTGCTTTCTTTAGAATTTGTTCAGCCTCTCCTTTTCATGTATGGCTTTATGTTCATTTGGTGGTAAAACACGATAATCAAAGGGAGAATATATCAGAACTGACCTTTTCTTGGAGAACATCCCAGTTAGATCCCATTTCCACAATATGATTACACTTTGAAATCTGGCTTTTCCCTGTTCTTTCTTTAATCCTCTGATATTTTAAATTCCTGTAATCTCTGCTATTGCCACTTTAAACCTCATTACTGAAAGTTCTTCCCACATTGAAACATTTCTCAGGAAAAAAAATGCAGAATATAGAGTAGAGCTATAATATAAACTTAAACAGACCTGCTAGTTTTAGCTTTCTTTTCTAGGATACATAATTTAGTTTACTTGATCCAAAGTACCTTTCAGAAACATGTTTTGGTTTAATTTCTGTTTGTTTTGTATTTTTTTTTTTTTTTTTTTGAGACAGGGTCTCACTTTGTCACCCAGGCTGGAGTGCGGTGGCATGATCTCGGCTCACTGCAACCTCCACCTCCAGGGTTCAAGTGATTCTCCTGCCTCAGCCTCTTGAGTAGCTGGGACAACAGAAGTGCGCCACCACACCCAGCTAATTTCTTTGTATTTTTAGTAGAGATGGGGTTTCGTCATGTTGGCTGGCTGGTCTCGAACTTCTGGCCTCAAGTGATCCACCCGCCTCAGCCTCCCAAAGAGCTGGGATTACAGGCAGGAGCCACCATGCCCGGCCTGGTTTAATTTCTGAAACTTACCTACTAATTGTCTTAGTCCTGCAATAAATATAGTTAAAATCATTATAACTAGTATTCTTTGGGCTGGTTTAAAGACATTCCTTAGCGTTTGAGATGAAAGGCAGAAACCACAGGTAGGATCATGTAAGCTATGGAACCAAAGGAGAAGCCTGGAAATGCAGCTTGGAGTCCTGCTTACTCTGTATCGTTGGGAAATCCAGATTGTGAAAGAAAAGAAAATGATCGTTTCGTCCATCTTTTGACAACTTTTTGCTTTGATACTTCTTTCCTCTACAGTTCCAACAGAAAGCCCAAGGCTGACTTTGATTGCCTGCCTTGGGTACGTTCCCATCTGTGCCTCAATCATTAACTTACTGGCCTGAGTCTTTTACCGATCTCTGGAGCTTAGTGATAGGGTCAGCCTCTCCTCAATCCTATGGACTTGGAACAAGGGAGGAAAATTGGAGAAGAGGAAAGGGATTCTGTACAGTCAAAAACAATTAAATAGCCACTCTATTCCCAAAGCTGTTTAATGGGAGAGCACTGTCCTTCAGCCAATAATGCACTAGCAGCTAGATTCCTTAGCTGGACCTTCCACTGTTGAAGCCTAATCCCTCCGTTTTGCTGCAGGTACCTGTTTCCCAAGTTTACATTGTGCTGGACTGAGTTTGTAGACATGAAGGTCCATGTGCCCTGTGAAACCCTCGAATACATTGAAGCCAACTATGGTAAGACCTGGAAGATTCCTGTAAAGACGTGGGACTGGAAGCGCTCTCCTCCCAATGTGCAACCCAATGGAATCTGGCCTATTTCTGAGTGGGATGAGGTTATCCAGTTATACTGAGATAATAGGTTGAAATGGGAGAATTCCTCTCTTGGAAAAAAAGGTAGATAACTGTTTAAAAAGATACATGTCTGTCAAACGTAAGTGGGAACCAAAGAAAAAAAGTGACAAGTTTGAAGACATGGCAAGGGTCCTAACTCCAGAGCCATCTGATTTAATTCTCTCATTTAGCACTGAGGAATTTTCATGTGCCACATACAATGCTAGGTTACAGTGGAGAAACCTAGATGAATGAGACAAATACCTGCTTCTTTTATTCCTCCCTTTGATAAACAACTCAATTTTTCCTCTGAGGGAACCCTCCCCCACCCTTTGAAGAGTTCAAGTTCTGTAAAGGTTTTAAAAATGTTAAGTAATGTTTGCACTGGAGGATGAGCTCACCAGGCAAAGCAAAGGAAGGATATACTAGTCAAAAAGAATAACCCATTCCTGTTCTGGGCATTTAAGCTGGTATGTTAGTGCTACTTTTAAGATTGTGGAGTCTGAGTTAATACTCAAGTGATCAGACTTTGAGTGGCATCAAGAAAAGATGATTATCAGGTTCATTTTTCAACTAATCTTATGTGGAATTGAATTAGAGAACAAGGCATTACTCTTTTAGGGAAGGTGAGAGCTAATTTATATCAGAGCTTTTATTACTTGTCAGGATAAGTAAATTTCTATACCTGTACTGCTTTCATATTTGAAGTGAGAAGAAAGTTTATGCTTGTATAATGCTTAAATTTCGATCCATTGTGAGAATATTTTCACTGACATCTGATGGCACTTGTTGACAAATCATTCAAGTGAGACCATGCTACTAGACATGATTTTGAAAGAGTCCATGATTTCATAAAACTCATTTTTATTTTGTTCTCAGTCACTCTGTTAGGTAAAAATATGAGGAATTCATGTACATTTTATATTTTCTGAATTTATAATCCTTGCACTCCCAATTTTAATGACAATAAAATATTAACAGAATTGTTTTAATGTACTCTAATTTTTAAAACATACTTTTTATTATCTTCATTCATCAATTACAGCTTCATTAATTTTTGGTCTATATACCAATTTAAGTGGCATGCAAACCTACCTGTTTCTTCTCCTCTTCCTATATATCGATCTCCAAAATGGAAGCTAAATGGTGGTCTTGGCAACTATTCACCCTACCTCAGGTCATAGAATTTGTAAAGTTTGTGTTCATCCCTAGTTTTTCAGTCTGTTGAATGTCGATGGGGCAAGAACTCAGACTTCTACTTTATCAAGTACCACACACTCTGGAACCCTTCATTTTCCTTTTCCCCTCAAGGTGTCTGAGTCAGATGGGATGCTGTTTACCCCATCTCTTCACCAGTCACTTGAATGATATATTCTAAGTGAGAGGTAAAGGAAAATGTAGGCACAATAAACACTGCTATTTTTCTCTTTGTCTGGGAAAGGAAGCTGAATCTTGTATTTTACCTATGCTATTTAGGACTACTTCCTGGAGCTTGGCAGATTTTCCTCTGAAACCAGAGAACAATAGGAGTCTCAAAAATGGAAACCTGAACATCTGAGGGAATGGGCTGATAGACTTTCCCAAAAACAAATTAGGGAAAGTAACTTACAACCACCCCATTCCAAATTTTTAAAGCAACATGAAAACGTTCTTTGATAAATGATAACCAACAGTCTTCCTGACTTAAGTTGCATTCTCAGTGCAGAATTATTGGGTTTTTCTTAAAGAGCATGAGCAGGTTTCTGGGGACCTTTAAGATTATTAGCGGACTCGTCCCAAAATGGTACATCATCATCATCATCATCATCATCATCAGTTTTCTCTGTGCTGGAAAATCAGCCCATAGAGTACATTCCCAAATTCTAAATAGCTGACCCTACATTCATTTTTCATGCTCAAACATAATATAACAAATAATAACAGTATTTTTGGGCAAAATCCACCCTACTTGATGAGGACCATTTGCTTGTGCTCAGTATCTAGAAATGCATACACTCCACATTTCTGCCCATTTCAAATTGGGACTCCCGTTCTTTGCCAGGAGATCTTACCCATCCGTTTACAGATTAATCTTTTATCCTTTTCTGGAGTACAAAGTCTTAGAGTGTCTGAAATCTAAGACATCTTGGCCCCATTGACACAAGGTCTATATTCTTCCCTACATAGACCGCTGGCTGCTCAAATACTTGTCTTCTGGTTTCACAGGCTTCAGCTCATAGATTCTGCCCTAACTTTGGGTAACAAAAGCCTTCCCCTAGAATGTGAAGGCCAGACGTACCTCTGATTCTGATTCATCCATACTTCATCTTATGTTTTTTAACAGTTGGATTCTGCTGAGTGTCCAGAGACCTTGGGTTAAGTATGTCCATCTTCAGTAGCTCATTGGATCACTTTTCTTTCCTCACTTGAGTATTCTAGCAGTCATTCTCCTAATCTGACCACTTTCAGGTTTAGTTTACCTGGCTTACCTGGGGAAGCTGACAACTTGTTGGTAGTTAGGCACTCATGGATATCTCCAGAGACATCCTGAGAGGCAAGATTCCTCTTAATTGACAACCAGGACAACCAGGTAGTCACCCAGTCCCTCTCTAAGCAGGGAGCACTTTTCCTTCTCTCCTCTGCTGCAGCTACTGATATCTGGCCCCTGGAATAAAACCATAGTTCCTAAAATTGAGCATCCCTAAGAGTAGCTGCTTGGTGGGACATCTGATTTCTTTGATTCCCTAGCTGCAAAACCTGAAATATGACCACTAGCTGACAGAATGTTTGCCAGTATCCCCACAAAACAAGTTAAAACTTAAGTGAAAGTAATTCTGCTTTTGAATCTTGAAAGAGACCATATGTAATATTCATTTTAAACCCTCTTACTTTATAACTAAATAAATAATGGCAGAAAGGAATGATCTAAACAAGAACAGCTGAGGCTAAAACCCAAGACTGCCATGACTTCTAGTCCAATGTCTGTTTTGCATCACAACACAGTATCTTTAACAGTGCTTGAGATGCTTAACAGAGAAGCCATCCAGTGCTTCATTGAGTCCAAGTCTTAGGGTATTTCTGCCACTTAGTATCTTTTTGTTCAGATTGAGAACCTAAGGCAACAGAGAGGTCAAGGGGAAGTATTTTCTTGTTCAGAATTCTTAGGCAACCTTCATACCTTTATCTGGAAAATGCCTTCTCTCCAGACAATAAGATAGTTCACATCTGGAGACATCAGCCTTTGGTACCTAATTCTCTAAGCTCAAGATGCATCCCATTGCCACTTTACCATTCTGTTTCCCAAAGGAAGCATCAGCACCAACCTGCTAAATGCCTGTATTTGAAGAGTCTCTCCCCTTCCTACAGTGACCTTTCATGAGGCCCTTTCCTTCCTAAGGGACCTTTACCTGGTAGTAGTGGTCTCATTCACAAAAAAGAATAACATATATAACTGGAGTACTTTGCAGTTTTTGGGATTTTTTTTAATCTGCTTGGCTGGAAAGGAGACTGGAGTATCTCATTTTTAGTATAAACTACTTTTAATTATTTATATTGATACTCTCTGATAAATGCAAGTAGTTAAGAATAGATAATACTCATTCTTTTTAAAATTTGTGACATCAAACCATTGTTTTTATTACACAACTACAGTACTTCAGATGGCACACAGATAGGCAGGATATTACATAGGTAAGCAGGAATTTATACATTGGGTACCAGAGCTAAATCTGGAAAACACATTTGGAATGAGCTTCCACACTTCAGTCTAAAATCTCACCCAAACTTATGGCTACACATTTTTCTGTTTCCCCCTGGTTTCACCTTCTGGAAAGTGAACAGTTTTTTAAATCCTAAATGTTATAAATCCTTAGGAGAAATATTCCCTCAAAACCTAGTCAGAGAAAGTGCCACTTTCCTGCCTTCTAACAGGTAATTATTAGTTGTAACAGCTTTAATGCATGGAAAAACTTCAGTGCATGGAAAAACTTCAGTTACCAACCAGTCAAGAGACTTTCTCAAGAAAAATCCCAGCAGTTATCCCTCTTTCCTCCTTGTCTTACACCATCATTAAGACCTGGGCTAGATCACCTACAACATCTCACTTAGGGAAGGCAATGTGTTGCCATAAAAAGACCACAAGCTTTTGAGTGAGGCCCGAATTTGAATTTCAGCTTAATCAAGCTGGGATTTATGGTGGGGGCCCTTTCAGTCTCAACTTCCACATTAGTGAGCCGGGGAAATGATACATACTTCTAAGGGTTTTTAGGGGGATTAAATGAAGTATACAGTTCTTAGCCTCAGGCCTAGGATTAAGTAAGTACTCAAGAAACGTGCAGGTTTTCTACTTCCATGTTTCTTTTCTAATCTTCAAATGGAATTATAGAAACCGTGGGTCAGAACACATTGCTTTACTCAAAAGGTTGCAAGACTGAATTTGCTTAAGAAAAAAAAATGCTATCAAGTCATTAAAAATTAAATTGTATGGTTTATGAATTCAGAGACATTACCAGTTTGCCTCCTTCTCTCAATAGAGCTTGTATTTTCATTTTCTTGGTTAAACATTTGTCTCCTAATCTTATCCCATATGCTACCTAGTTTGCTGGTCCCAAGCAGTTCACTGTACTTCCCTAGATTTGGTGCCTACTCTCCCCTGGACTTCTTTTTCAATATTCTAGCCTTTCCTAGATGTAAATCTTTACCTCCTTGTTGGTGAAATTAGATATAAGCCATGATTTGGAAAGGGAAGAAGTCTGGAATACTTAGTTTCATTTAATTGTCTATGCTGGTGAATGCCTGTGTCATTGTTAATAAAGGAGAATTGAAAATACTCATTTCTACTTTCTGCCCCCAAATTTGTGTTTCTGTCTCAACTTGGCAAGAATCAGCAGGGTGCATGATGCCACTTTAAGCTGCTTCACATCAGACTGAAATCCTAATTATAGTTTATAAGTGAAACAGACTAATTCAATGGTGATACCTTTTGTATAGGTACTGTGCTTAAAGGAGGCAAGTATAAATTTTCTAACAAAAAATTCCTGCTTCTGTTGGGTGCAGTGGCTCACGTCTGTAATACCAGCAGTTTGAGAGGCCAAGGCGGTGGATCACTTGAAGCCAGGAGTTCGAGACCAGCCTGGCCAACATAGCAAAACCCCGTCTCCTTTAAAATACAAAAAACTTAGCTAGGCTTGGTGGCACGAGCCTATAGTCCCAGCTACTCGGGAGGCCGAAGCAGGAGAATCACTTGAACCCAGGAGGCAGAGTCTGCAGTGAGCCAAGATCGCACCATTGTGCTGCAGCCTGGGGTGATAGAGCGAGACTCTGTCTCAAAAAAGGAAAAAAAAAAAAAAAAAGGAAAGAAAGAAATCTCTGCTTCTGCTTCTATACTATCAAAACTTCTACCCTAGAATGCCCCCTGGCACCTTCTAACCCAATCTAATACAGAGATTATGTAGGAACCCATTAACAAGCTGCTATATAATTATAAGCAGCTCTCACAGTAGGGTTGGAAGAGAGTATGAGGAAAACTAGAAGTACTGTATTTTTGCTATTAGAAATGAAATATTATTTCATGTACCTTTGAAAAAAATAACAGGATTTTACAGCCTTCTGATGATTCATTCAAAACATGGGGAATAGTTCATATGTTTGTTAAATGAAAATCTTATGTAGCTATTTGTGTGTCCCTCCCACTTCATAACTACAAAAACATATATATGAATTTCTAAACAAAGTGATATTTTAAAGATGAATAGATTCAATGTGTACTTACCAGTTTACTATTTGATTTTATCTTCAGGTACAGATAGTTTGTGGTACTACTTGAAAATACCTTTAATATTATTTTCATCAGAATTTGTAATATATTATCCAGTTTGGGATGATGAATAAAATTTTTCTAATCTCTTGGGATATCTTGTATTCATTTTTGAGACTTGCAGTAGAAATAACAGACACTAACATTCATAAACAATCTGGTAAAATAGTAATCCTGCCACCAGTACAGTATTTCTGAAATTCAACTCTGGGGACCCTAGTAGTCTGCACACATATACCTGGGTATCCAAAAGTTCTCAGAGATAAAACCTGTCAGCCAAAGACCACCAGGAACACACCTGTAATCAAACAAAGTTAGGTTTATTAGCTTGTCGTAGTAAGAGGAAACAGCCACCATGGGGAATCATAACATACTTCAGGGAGAAAGAACTAGAAAGATCTTTTATAGGATTTCAGCTGATGTCAAAATTGTTAAAAGTAACTGTAGTGGAGTGGAAATAACACAGGACATGGAGTAAGAAGTTCTAGTTTGAATCCAACAGTGCCATGACCAGTAGGATTCATTTCAGGTGTACATGGCTAGTTCAGCCTTAAAACAGTCAATGTAATGCACTATATCAACAAAGTAAAGAAAATCATATCAATAGACACAAAAAGAGTCTGACAAAATCTAACCCTCATTCATGAGAAAAACTCAGTAGTTAAAAATAGAAGAGAATTACCTCAATTTGATGAAGAACATCTAAAAAACCCAGAAAAACCAAAAACCTATATATCTTAATAGCAAACAACTGAATGTTTTTCCTCTAAGATTAGGAACAAGGCAAGGATGTCTGCTTTCACCACTCTTATTCAGCCTAATACTAGAAGTGCTAGTCACTGCAATAAGGCAAAAAAAGAAAAAAGTTAATAAATAAAAGACATGCAGATTGGAAAGAAAGAAATTTTTAAAAACTTTTTATTTGCAGATGACATGATTGTTTACATAGATAATACCAAGGAATGTATTTTAAAACAAGCAAATACCTGGAGCTAATAAGTGAGTTTTAGTACAGTCACAGTATACAAGATCAAGACCAATACCCCCAAATCAATTGCATTTCTATATTCTAACAGCAAACATGAAACCAAAAACACAGTACTATTTAAAGTCACCACGAAGAAAACGAAGTATTTAGGTATAAAAGTAACAAATTATATACAAGATTTGTATGTTAAAAATGCTGATGAGGCCAGGCGTGGTGGCTCACGCCTGTAATCCCAGTACTTTAGGAGGCCAAGGCGGGCGGATCACAAGGTCAGGAGATCCAGACTATCCTGGCTAACACAGTGAAACCCCGTCTCAACTAAAAATACAAAAAATTAGCCAGGCGTGGTGTGGGCGCCTGTAGTCCCAGTTACTTGGGAGGCTGAGGCAGGAGAATGGCGTGAAACCAGGAGGCAGAGCTTGCAGTGAGCCAAGATTGTGCCACTGCACTCCAGCCTGGGTGACAGAGTGAGACTCCGTCTCAGGAAAAAAAAAAAAACAAAAAAAAAAACCTGATGAAATCAAAGACCTAAATAAATGGAGATGCATACCATGTTCATGGATTGGAAACAACACAGTAAAGATGTCAATTCTACTCAACTTGATCAATAGGTTTAATGCAATTCCTATCAAAATCTCAGCAAGGTTTTTAGTAGACATAGACGAACTTATTTTAAAATGTATGTGGTAAGTTTATTTCTCTAGAATATCTCAAGTAATCTTTATAAGGAAAAAGTAGCAGAAAGATTTGGCATCAGAAGACCTAAGTTCGTTCTTGCACTTCAATAGATACCGCATCTGATCTTATAAGGTAGATGTTATCACCCCTTGTTTTGCAGATGAGGAAGCTGCAATTTAGAGGTAACACAGATCTTAAATCCTTGTTTTCTGACTTGAAATCCAGTGACTACTCACTCTGCCAATTCTACTTAACTGTTGATCTAAAAAAAAATTTTTTTTGTATTATTACTTAAAACCAGCCTCTTATACTGAAAGTGAGAAGGATCACTCTACCCAATATTAAGGTTTATTATATAGCTATAGTAATTGTTATGGGCTGAATTGTGTTACCTTATATCCCTCAAAATTCTTATGTTTAAGTCCTGACCCCAGTATTTCAGAATGTGACTGTGTTGGGAGATAGAGCCTTTAAACAGCTAATTAGGGTAAAATGAGGTCATATGGGTGATTCCCAATTCACTGGTGACTACAGGAGTCCTTAGAAGAGCTTAGGACAAGGAGAGGCACAGAAGGAGGACCATGTAGAGACATAGAAGATGGTCACCTACAAGCCAAGGAGAGGATCCTTCAGAAGAAACCAGCCCTGCCAGCACCTTAGCCTTGGACTTCTAGTTTCCTGAACTGTGAGAAAATAGATTTCTACTGTTGAAACCACTCAGCTGTGGTACTTTGTTATGGCAGCCCTAGCAATCTAATGCAGTAGTCAAAGACAGTATGTTTTGGTAAAAGGATATGCACATAGATCAGTGAAACAAAATAAACCAGAAATTGACCCATATGAATATGTCCAACTGATTTTTTACAAAAGTGCAAAAGCAATTCAGTGGAGGAAAGACAGTCTGGTTTTTTTTTTTTCCTCTTATAAACAGGGTCTCACTGTGTCACCCAGGCTGGAGTGCTGTGGCACAATCATTGTTCACTGTAACCTCGAGCTCCTTGGGCTCAACCAATCCTCCCGCTTCAGCCTCTCAAGTAGCTAGGACTACAGGTGCATGCCACCACACCCAGCTATTATTTTATTATCTTTTGTTGACATGGAGTCTCATTATGTTGCCTAGGCTGCTCTCAAACTCCTGGCCCCAAGCTATCCTCCACCTTGGTCTCCCAAAGTGCTGAGGTTGCATGAGCCACCACACCCAGCCAAGATAGACCTTTCAACAAATGGTGCTAGAGCAATTGGACATTGGCAATTGGACAATAGGCGAAAAACAAACTCAACTTGAATGAACCTCACACTTTGTACAAAAATGTACTTACGATGGATCACATGCTTAAGTGTAAAATATAAAACTGTAAACCATTTTGGGAAAAAAAAATAGGAGAAAATCTTCATGATCTAGGGTTATGCAAAGCATTCTTTCTTCTTCTTGACACCAAAAACACATCTATAAAAGAAAAATTGATAAATTGGACTTCATCAAAATTAAAAATTGCTGCTCTGCAAAAGCTCACATGTGAGAGCTGAAAAGTCAAGCTACAGACTAGGAGAAAAATATTTGCAAACTATGTATCTGACAAAGGACTCGTACCTGGAATATATAAAGAACCTGAACACTCAGCAGTTTTTTGAAAAATTCAATTAGAAAATGGGCAAAGACATAAACAGACATTTCATTGAAGAGGATATACAGATGGCTAAGAAGCACATGAAAAAGATGTTCAACATCATTAGCCAGGGAAATGCAAATTACAACCACATGAGATATCATTGCATACCTATTAGAATGGCTAAAATTAAAAATAATGATAACACCAAATCTGCTAGTTGTTTCTTTTATGATTTTCTTTTTTAACGTGTACTGTGCACCATTGTTTTCACTGTGATTTTACTAAAGAGTGTCCTTAAACATTTTACAAACATTCGTAATAGGTAACACTCTTCATAATAAAAAGGAATAACCTTGTCTCAATTTTTGGAAGACAGGTTTTTAGGTTTTTGTTTTTGACTTTCCTCCAATTCTTTGTTGATTTACTTTGTCACTTTAGTAACCCTCTTTTTATGATTTATTTTCTCTTTATTATTCCTTTGTGTTCTTTGAGTTTTCTTTAATTAGCTTTATCAGTAAAGCCCTTTAACAGCTGGTACTATTGTTCATAGTTCTCTGCAACTTTATCAGTAGGGCTTTTACAACCTAAAACTTCTAAATTCAAATTTTTTCTTCTGTTAATCTTAATAATTTGGAGGATGTTTTCTAGTGAATTTTACAAGAAAGGTAATTGAGTGGCCAATGTTCTGAAAATGTTATACCACCAAATGTCTTTCAGATGTCTTAGAAGATGACGGTCTCA